TATGTTATGACTACGAGGCGATGTGTGAACAAGCCTAATATTCTATGCAGTTTTGTTATTGTAATTTGGGTTCAAATCTAAACATAATTGTAGCATTCATAAGAGCTTTCAGAAATGTATTTCCATAGCTTTACACGATCACCCATCCATAGGATAATCAGTGAGGAAAAGCGTGCACTTTTTTTATGCTTATATAAATTCACTGTAAATTTTATTTCCGATTTAAATTTCAAATGAAAAAAAATGTGCATGTGATATATGCCAATTATATCAATTTCTTTTATATATGTATATAAATGACTTCAAAGTAAATTTGATACTTAATTTTATATATCAGTTGGTTCTGGTTTCTTTTCAATTTCTTTTCAGAATTTTTTTTAACAAAATTAAAATGAAAAAAAAACATGTTTTGACTCCTATGAAATTTCCAAACACAGAAATTAATTATTTCAGTAATTTAAACAAGAATTCGATAAAAGAAACATCGATAGACACAAAAACATATGAAAGATGCCATATTAAATAGATTTCTTATGATAAATGTCAACCGTTTAAATTTTAGACGATATATTACCATAAATAACTAAAAAACAAACTTAAATGAGCCAGGATTAAAAAAGTAACTGCTTGATTTCAGACAGAAAGTTTATGCTTTTTTATTTTTATCATGTTTAAAATAATATAATTGCAAAATAATTATAATCGTAAAAAGTTCTTTGACTTAAAGCTGAATACATGATAAAAATTCCCAATCTATATAGAAAATAATATTGCTTAAACTTTAATCTGAAAGGTCTTGTATATTCTTCGTAAAAACATGTGCGATTGCATCTTCTTTTTCTTAAAAAAAAGTCCCATTTAAAGCGTTTACCGATAATATAATGTTTATGCATTACGAACATATTAAAATCAACCACTTACCTACGAAATGCAAACAATAAAATTTATTTTGAACAAATATTTTGTGATAGCAACGTTCTCAAAAAGTAACTGATAGTCAAATTTGGATCATTTATATGAAAGGCAGCTTATAGTAAAAAAGTTGTTACGTTTTTTTCGTCTCATTCTTGCTTGCAATTAAATGTTTGTGCAAATTTAACTTTGATAAAATACAATATTTACTACCTTTCTTCTTTGGTTTCGAAATTTAAATGTTACCTAAATTTTCTGCTAAAATTATTGGTTAGTGCATAATACCTTTAACTGATTATCGAATCATTAAAAATTTCTGATGTGCCAATGTAGAATTATTTTTACATAACAAAGAGCTATTGGCAAGTTTTTTAATTAAAATTCACAAAGACTTTCCTTGTTGCCCTCCCAGAAAATATTTCTGCCGGTGCCTTTGGGTTTTATTTCAAGTGTTAGGTAAGTAAAATTTCAAATTCTAAAAGGATAAAGTTAAGTAAGTATTTTTCCATTTAATTTCAGTGAATAAAGAAGAGAAAAAATTTACGCAAGTAAGCAATTTGAATATCTTTAAATTTTCTGTATTATCTCAATTATTACAAAAAAATAACAATTCAAAAATTCGAGCCATAATTTTATTTTAATATTTTTTGGAAATTAATAACATAGTTGTATTTAAAAAATTAAAAAAAAAAAATAAACTTTCAACTCAATTTAAATGTGAATTTAACTTCGCAATTATGTAGTAAAGTTTTTTTATTATATAATTTCAGAATATAAATAATGAAGGATACTTGTGAAATTACAAATGGCTTAAGTTACAACTTTTATAAAATATGTTTTACAAACTAACAAATTCAATTGAGATTTTGATAAAATATGCTCACATTTCTAAAAAACAATTATGAATGCATTTTAAAATTAAAGACTTGAAAATTATTAATGATATAAAATTCGTCAAAAAACCCATTGTATGAAGAAAAGAAAAAAATATCAATAAAAGTTGTGGTATAGTATTATTTCCAAAATTTAAAATAATCAAAAAATCAGCTGAACATACGATATACTTTGGAGTAAGAGGGAGAAAAATGGATGGTAGCCGAATTCGTTAATATAATTTTATGTAGTATTCCTGTATTGCTAAGTAAATACTGCATGGAATGATATTATGAAACTATTGTTCTATGTTTTACTGCCTCACAGTATTACAGAAAATTAAGGAAAATTATATCTCAGAATGATTCTACTACCTTCCTAATCTTCCTCTTACTTACTTCAAAAAATAAAAACAACACAAGATAATATTAGAAAATACAGAATCTAATATTGTATAGCATTAAAACTAATGCAAAATTATGTTACATCGAAAGCTAGATAAATATTAGTTTGCATAGAATTTAATATTATATGATAATATTGGATTCCTGATAATATTATAATGCATTAATAATACTATTAATGCAGAGCAAACAGCGACCTCTTGTATCTTTCTAATATTAGAAGTTGAGCAAGATAACGTTAGATTTTACTGATTTTCTGATGCTATCTAATATTAGGTGCTACTTGGGACAGTATATTTTATTTGCCATTTATTCAAATATCCGAAGAATTTCGAAATCAGAAACTCTCAAATTGTATTGTTCTGGCAACCGATGATTCCAAACAATCAGAAAAAATTGGCATGTGGCCAAATAGCTACTGGACATCACACAGATGCGACCCCTGGATTTCTGTTGGATATTTCATGTATATTCAGATATCTTAGAGATGTCTGTTGAATCTGGGAACATCAAGTTTTTTTTTACCAATATTCAGTTTTTTAACATAAGAGATATCTCAAAGATGTGTTATGGATATTTGTGGGTCGCATGCCAACAGTTTTGCCTCACTGGACACCAATTCCACTCCTACAAAGAACATGAGTGAGTGCATTAGCTTCATGGAATAAATGGCTTTAAGCAAATTTTTTTAGTCCAATCTCTCACCGATCATCCTCTCCAGCTTACTATCACCTACATCCCTCACTTTCCCGATTTCCACAAAGTAAAATGATAAATATTCTTGCATAAATGCAAGAATATTTCTCTAGATAACACTATTAAATACCGCACTCGTGATAATTTGCCATTTCAAACCAAAAAGTTAGTCTCCGCTGCAGATTCGAGCCTTGTTTCATATGTTTCGCAATCAGAATCTCTTAAACTGTATCGTTCTGTTGACAGATGCATCCAAATAATCAGACAAAAATTTTCGTGGGAATATATACCTCCAAAGGTAACACTATTTCTGTCAAACTTCCTCCACATACTTCGGTTTTTAAAGCCGAAGACTGGCCATTTTGCTTGTCCTCAAACATTGCGCTACCAGAGAAACTGCAACTATATTTTTCTAAAGGAAAGCCGTTCGATCCTTGTCCACCCTAAAATCTCTCTCTGCGAATCTCTCTTCTTCTTTTGACCTAATTGCAAAATTAGAACAGACAGTGAGATCCCTCTAATTTATTTCTCATTTTTTTGAGTTCCATCTTATACAGATATAAAAGAAAATGAACAAGCAGACCAGCTTTCCAAAAAAGCGGTAAACCAAAATTTCATTTCACGTGTTTCATCGCATCAAGACCTTAACCAAANAAATTATTAATAGAATTTTAAAATAATTTTTTACAGTAGTTATGTTTGTTTAAATGAGATCTATACATTAATATTAAACATTGAGCTGTCAGGTTGTAAATTATTGTGAAAAAGTGATTTACGTTCTCCCATAGAATAACATTGAGACGTCGATTGAAGCTGGCAACGGTGCCAACGGCCTTAAGCAAGTTTTTTTAGTCCAATCTCTCATCAAACATACCTAAAGAAAGCGCTCAATGAATAAAGAACTCAGATGATGGAACTGTTGTAAATGCTTCCTTTCCTTTCCTCATCTTAATGGGTATCAGGATTACCGTTTGCTAATTAGCTCCTAAAAACTTGATATACTAATTGCCTGGCTCAGAACCAAATCTCTTCTGACTAATGCATTCTTTCACGAGTGCAAACAGATAAAAAGATCAAATTTCCTAAGTCGTGGAGGTGTCGACTTGAACGATCGTCTTTTCCCGGGATATCCCTCCTTCCAGAATGCTCGTAAAGATCTCTTCCAGTCTTTATCTCTTAGACTCAATTTACCGATGTCGTGTTCCTGTCTTTAAATCTTCGGACTCAATTCTAAATGATTTAAAAAAAATTTCTAAGTCAAAAACCGTTTCTGACTTTTCACAGCAACTTTCAGTTATCTATTTAGCCCCAACCGTTAGCCTCGTAAATATAGAACTGTAACCTAACTCTAAGAGCTTGTCACACCTTCCTCTTTTTCTGAAAACAATAACAAGCTTCCTAAAACCAGAAAAAAATTTGAAATCCCTTCGCTTATGTTATGCTTACGAGGCGATGTGTGAACAGACTTAATTTTCTACGAAGTTTTGTTATTGTGTTTAAATTTACCATTCATGAGATTTTTCTGAAATTTATAAATTTTAACGGGTCGTAAGCCAAAAACCAATTTAACAAAATTACCATCACAACAGAAATAAAGTGAAGTGTAAGTCATGCCAAGCTTTGAGTATTGTCCTAATATGGCTGTAATTGGGTAAAATATCACTGTTTATATTTTTTTTTTGGGGGGGGGGAGATAGCATAGCATGCTTGCGGGGTCTTCTGAATTCATTTGTTATTTTGTTACGTTGAAAGTTAAATTCGAAGAATGCTTAATATTGTGAACATTGCAAGCATAATAATTGGCGATCGGAATTGGTTACACTTGGAGCCGAGCAGAACTCTGCAACACTTTGTATATTTTCAGCAATAACGTATGGACCTGTCACATAAAACGGAAGTACATTAGTTCTGCCTTGATTTTTCAAATAGATTGAAATCTTTTAAGTTAGGAAACAATATAGAATTAAAAACTGCATTAAATATAGTTCTCAAAGAAAGCGTTGTGGAAACTTTTTTTTAACTATTAAATACGAAAAATATTATGAAAGGGGAAATATTGTAGTACATTCCTATATAACTAACAAGAGGAGGAGAGGAAGGGAGGTTACAACATGGAACCGGGCCTCTCCCCGAATTATGGAAAGTGCTTTTCCAAGCTTAGGCGCAAAAACCAATCAGAAGTAATAACCCGGAGAACTCGCAATAAAACGAATTTTAATCATTAGCGCCATCTGTGCTTTGCTTTTACGATCAACTACCCATATAAAAGCTATAAGCTAGTCAAATCGTATGCGGTGTTAGATTTATTTCGGTTTTTGTCTAATTTGTGTTCTTCGTTTTTCGAAACATCTAAAATTTCTGTTGAAACTGTTCTATAATCTCATATTTCTTGTCTTATATTAAAAATACTTTTTCAACAACTCTAGCAAAAGTCGTTTAGAAATTCCGGAACTGCTAAAATTACAGCACCATGAGCAATGTTTGATTCTGTTGAATTAGAGCAGAATATTCTTTTTAAAATAATTATTAGAAAAATTATTTTATCATTATGTTATTGTGACTTGTTAAGTATATTTGTTATTGCGAAATTTCTAACAGTACTGCCCCTAACTGGTTATAATTTTCAAGATAATTTGAGCGTAATAAAATATATTGTCATGAACGTAATAAAAGATGTTTAATGATTGAAATCATCATTTAGATTCTAAAACTTTTTTCTTTATTATAAATTTAGTTAGTGATCCAAAGGGCTGTTAGATGAGAGACCAATATTTGGATATGAGCTGTTGAATTTATAAGTATTTCTTTGTTTTTTATATACATATTTTTCTAACTGAATTTCTTAACATTAACTCAGATTTGATAATCTAAGTTGGTAAAGGATTGTAATTTATGTATCTATAACGCTTGTCATAATCAATTTCTATTATTGAAGTATTGCTACATTTTCATACCAAAGTTCCATAAATTTTGAAGCTCATCTTAAAAATGAATTTCGACTCTGCGAATTACTGTAAATCTTCATGAAACCTATACCATCAAAATTTGGGTTCTTCCTAATAATATATATGTTCTTTTCTGTAGTAAATTTTTCTACACATCACTAATCAAAATTTCTATACATATAGAAAAATATGTGAATGCTGCTTATTTATTGTTATTTATTATAGCTGCTTATTTATTTATTCATTTAATTTTACTCTAATATTCACTTTAGGATTGTTTATAGAGAATTCTATCAGTTCATTATTTTTTTTTCCTTACAGATCATTTGAAATTTATTTTCTAAAAGAAAGAGATAAATTTTCTGGATTTAGATAGTGTCTATTTTTATATATGAAATAACTTATCTATTTTACATTAAATTCACTGTAGTCTTACTCTTAAGAAGGCAATATGAATGTTTATAGATTAATTGGAAATCGATCCTCTCTTTCCAATTGTTCTTAAGGAAATTTTCGCGAATTATCTACAATTTAGGTTTAGCTAAATTTAAAACAACTTGAGTAATAAAAATAATTATTTATCAGATTGAAGTAGTTTTTTCATGAGTGAAATTGAGAGTTTTTAAGTGTAAACTTAGAGAAATTTAACTATTATAGTTGTGTATTTTGTTTATGTGCTATTTATTTCAATGATGTTTTATTGTGTATATAATTATGAAAACTAATTGTTTCGATTTCTTTAAAATGAAAACTAAGATACTAATTGCACTTTTTAAAGATTTCAGTGAATTAAAAAATTTCTTGAGAATATGAGAATTATCCAATGAAATAAAGCATTTAACGGAACTATGTAGTTGTTTAAAAGTTGAGATAAGCGTAAATGTTGTTTGAAATCTTACTTAAAATAGCTCTCATTGAGAAATGTTGACAACATCTGTTTGGTAAGAATACCAAAAAAAATTAGACTTTTTTAAAATTTAAATTATAGGCAAACATCTATTATCTGATAGTTCAATGTAAATTTGCTGCATTTTAGTTTCAAAATTTCCATGTATTTCAGAATATTTTTTTAAAATTATTTTTGGATTTATTTCTTCCATAGATTATTGCAATGGAGTAAGTGTATATTTCAAACCATGAATTCTATTTTAAAATAATATTTGTTAATCTCCTATTAATCTATTATCATTAATTAATTTCTACAGATTTTTATGTAATTAGTTGGTTTTAAATATACTATGTATTTTTTACCTACCATCCAAGTTTTTGACTGTTTTAACCAGTTTTTGATGCCCGTCACATTAAAAAGCCAGCCCTATGTTAAAATGATATTAAGCAGTTTATCAGAATTTTCCCTTCGAATTTGTTAAAAATTGGTATATGCTATTTTCTTTTGCAGATGATATATTTTTTTCAAACAGAATCAAACACATAGTTTTCATTAATAAATGTTTTTGATTGACTCAGATTTTGGACCCGCAAAACATGGAAGGGAAGCTACAGTTGAAAATGTATCGGTTGCTTAAATTATTTATCATATTTGAGGTTATCCCTCAACCATCATTATGATTGCATCTTTTTACATGAAAATCTGATTACCAGATCAAAAGTGATTAAGTGTTCTGATTGTTATTTTGACAATAGTACTTATATAGAGCTTGAGGCAATATTGTGAAAACCATACTTTTTCTGAAAGTGATATTTTTTCATGAAACTAATCCATTTTATTCTTTTCAGATGACTCTACAAGTCTCTAAAATTTCCACTTAATATCTTATGTCTACATCTTGATATCTTACATCTTATTTACTTCAAGGAAAACTTCTTTAAAATAACAACAATCAGTAATTAAAGTAAGTTTATTTTTCCTATTAAATATTTCAGTCAAGTGCTATACAATGGTAAATATATAATTGTTTCATGATGACTCAAATCTGAAGAGAATAAAGAAAATCTTTTACTCATTTGTTCGTCAATTTGTAATTTATACTTTTTGTTACAGAACTTATCTTTTTTGTTATAAACTACAGAACAAAAAAAGTGTAAGAAAACTGAACACAATTATAAAATTTGAGATCCTAACTTTTAATTGAATTCCACATTTTGATTATCAGTATTCTGATATTTTTTGTTGAATTAAGCATTTTTCAGTACCTGAAAACAACAAATTTTCAATTTTTTGCCATTGTAAAAAATATATAGTACATTACCATTTCAGATTTTATATTTGGAGAAATATTAAAGATGACTGGACTTCTACTATTGTCATTCTTTTTACTTTAAAGGGTAAGTCATCTTGCTTGAAAAATAAATGAATGATTGTTTGAAATAAAACTTGAGTAATCAAGAAAAGTTAACAGGAAATTAAAAATTAAGTGGTCAGGACCAGTACTGAAAATAATTCGAGTTATAGGACTGTTCAAGTTATCATAAATTGACTGTACTATTTATTATTGTGTTTTAACTCGTGTATATTTTAGTTAATTCAAATTTTTGATAATTAAAATTTTTTACCTGTCTTTTGAGTTTAAATAACTAAGGGTCTCACTGTATATATTTGAATGTAATTTGTGTAGAATTAAAAGTAAATAAAAGTAACAGGGCTGCCATTGGCCACCAAAAAGGCAATTAAAAAAACTATTTTGACAAAAAGGCCTCCCTGATGACTAATTTCATCTTAAATATTGGTAAAAACTACTATGTATTGGTAAAAACTACTTGGTAAAAAGTCCCAATGTTATTTCTCACTTGAGAAGATGAACAATGCAATGAAATGTGCCATGAAGAGAACTACATCTGTACAGAACTACAGTGGAATTTTGCAGGAAAGAACAATCTACAAGAACGAAAAAACAACAGGTCCGAAGGACAATCTTCGATACCTGTTAAAATTCGCTTTTGACAGCTGCATATTAATATAAAATGTATTTAACGTTAGAAAAATAATAGTTTAATTTGCCTAGGATTTTTTTTTACTTTGTGTTAAAAGAAACACAATGTCTAGTTCATATAAGTTTCATAACGTAATAAAAAGTTAGAATTGTCTTCAGAAATAATAAATTATGTAATAATACAGGCATTCAAAACTAGGTTATTGTAATTGTTTCATATAAAAAAATTTTCATCCAGTAAAACATATTAATATCTTTTTTAATTTTACTGCATTTTTATCCTTGTAAATTCATTTCATATTATTTCGACTTATTGTTCATTCACCTAATTGTCATATATTTAAGAAATGTATTAGATCTGATCCGTGATGATATAGATTTTTAACAAGATCACTTTTTACTTATTTTTATTAATTTCTAGCTAATTTTTTAGCTCCTAGCAAGAAGATATATTTAAAATATGACATATTATTTATTCAGGGTCCACATATACTTTATTATATATAATTGGAAAAAAAGCTCTATTTATATTATCCCCATATCTCCAACTTGCCCTTTCATATATAATTTTATAAAGATGAATTTAACTGCGGAATCTAAATTTTTTTGTGGATCAACAAATTTCCAATTAAATTTTTTTACAAATCTTTAATACTCCTCTTTCCTACTAACAATTCCTGATAATGACTTTGATTGCCTCATTATTCAGTCTTTTTCTATCCACAATTTGATAGTCAATGCTCAGCTTAAACTTATTTTATACTAATGTAACAGTTTAAAAGAAAAGTAATATGCCACATTTCCCGCATATTTGAATATTAAATATTGGTGTTAGTAAATTATTCAAATTTCACATACAGGTAGGTACACAAGAGCAGTTTCTAAACACTTTATTGAAGGAAAGACTTATTGCATGCTAATAAAAAATATTATGTATATATTTTCTATTAGCAGGAAAAAGGGAGAGTTGGTTGAGCAACAGATAACCAATGACAACAAAACTGATGATTTTTCTTTTGTTTATATATCGGCAGATTGGCAAACAATTTTATTTAAAGAACCTAAAGCAAATAATAATTGAATTACAAAATTATTTTATTGGTTCTTTCACTAATATTTTATAGTTCTTTAAATCTGTGATAAAAATAAACTTCAGGAGCTGAGATAATTTTTATTTTTTTCAGTCTGAGATGAAAATTAATCTGCAGATGCACTGATATTCTGCAAAGCCAACTGTCACACTGGAGGGTTTCTTCTATTAGATTTCAATCCAAGTAATTGATATTATGGTAATTTTTACCTGATATTCTGATGTAGGTATTATGGTAAAAAAATTTTACTGACTCAAAATGAAATACTATGCAATTTTTTTTTGCATCTCGCTTATCTACTCACTTGTTTATTTGTCCAATAAGGAAAATTGTTCTAATACTTCTATGTAATTTTTTTGAAAATTAACTTTTGAACATAATATTTCATCTCTTATATATTTCTTTACTATTTCCTATACAATTCTGTGCTTCCTATTTTGACCATAGAGTTCTCTTGATACCGTTGCGTTAAAATGCAATTACAGTAAAACTTGTGTAAGTTGACCACTTGTGGTGCATTGTTTTAGTGGTCAACTTAGACAAGTGGGCAACTTATAGAGAGGGTGGGTCATTGTTTACTTTTTCGTTTCCTATATCATGTTGCAATATGTTTAAAAAAAATTTTTCTTGACTTAAAAATTTTGTTTAGCAAATAGCCAAATGAATATCTTAAGAAATGTGTTTAAACCCGAAATTCAATTTGTTGCATATAATTCTAATATTTAACTAACTTTTTAAAAAAATTATTTCGTTAGTTATGCATGTGAAGAGTTTAATAAAAATGATTTCTTAAAATATCAGAACAAGAAAACATGTAATTTGAAAACTTTAACAGAACAAAATTATTTGAACACTTTAAAATTTATTCTGTTATTACTTACAAGCCTATTTGTTACAGAAATATGCTCGCATTGTAGTTTGGCGCTGTTGTATACTTTACATCAGCCCAATGTTTTGAATGAAAGAAATGGTCAAAAGCTGACAGTTTCCCCAGATGGTCAACTCTCAAAAGGGTTTAGATTAGCTTTTTACACTATTTCACCAAACAAGTCAAATTTTAACTTACATTGCAAAATGACAGAAAATTTTCTGAATTTTTTTTTTCTGGTCATCTTATGAGGGTTTTAGAATAGAATTTCATTATACTCCTAGACAAAATTGACTTATTTCAGTGGTCAACATACAAGATAGACAGGTAGTCATGTTACAAAGGTTTTGCTTCTTTATATTATATAGGAAAAATTCCGTTCTTGATAATTGAGGTCAACTTATGTAGGTGTCCAACTTACAAGGGTGGTCAACTTGGCAGGTTTCACTGTAATAGCCAAAAGTGTTGGGGTTTTAAAATATCAGTTAAATACATAAAATTTGAACAAATTTCTTACTGATACAATAATGCATATTGCTGTGCAACTACAGTATTGTTTAATATTTTTTAGAATTAATCATTGCAATGATTTGTTTTAAAAGCAAGTAAATATGAAAGTTAAGCAACAAATTTTTTACTTTTGGTTACAACTGACATCAAGAGTCTGTAATGATATTATAATGCTAATTATGCTGTAAAATAATGCTTAAATTTATGCAGAAAACTGTTTAAAATTTGACACTATTTTGAAATTCCTAAAGGTGTCAAGCAAGACATCTCATGATAAAAACAGTATACCATATACATACCTTTATATTCAGGGCAAGCTGAAGAAGAATGATATCACAAAATTAATTAACTGTTGGAAACAAAATAATAATTACTTATGAAATGTACATTGATATTAAGAAATGATTTGAAATTAAACTTTGGAGAGTGTCTTTTGACTCTGCTTGATAAAAACATTCTAAATCATCAGTTTTAAAAACTATAAGTTGTTAGGATTTAAAAAAAAAAAAAATTTTGTCTCATATAAACATAAACATTGTTCTTTTGAAAAACTTTCCTACTGACTAATTGTTTTTTTATATGATTTTCTTGTAAAATCTGTCATAAAAACACTAATTTTTTATTTTACTTTTTTTGTGAGTAAAATAGTTAGAAATATTTTAAGCTCTAAATTTAGATTTTCTGACTGTGACTACAAGTATAGTATTAGTAGTATATGTTTATTCTAAGTGAAGGTTACTTATATTTTTAAAAGTAGTTAAATAAAATGTTCTGATATTGACATCAGTACAGAATTTTTTTTTTAATACATTGATTTCAACTTTAATTAGTGTAAATTTTTAAAATTTGAAGGTAGTGGAAAGTACTCTGTTCATATCGAATAATGTTAATAAAATTTTGCTTTTTATTGAAATGCTTTTACTTTTTTAGTGCTTATTTATAATTTTTTGATATATTTGATTTAATGTTGTAATCACAATAAATAAAATTTTTGCTGATAATTCTTTTACATATTATTTGTTATGCTTATTAATAATTTCTTAAAATTTATAAAAAAAATATGTAGTACATATTATAATTATAAATAATTATAAAACATAACATTTAAGTATAAAGTATTTATAAATAATTATAAAATATAATTATAAATAATTTTGAAGCATACATTTATAATAAATTCTAAAGTATAATGGTATTTTATTTTGATTGATATAACGATCATTAAAATTTAAAATGCTAAAATTAAGTTTTACAACTTTGAATATAAGTCGTGTATATTTGTAATACAATTAGAAGTTATTTATATTTTCAAAAGAAGTCAAATTATAAAATGTTTAGTAACTGATCAATCCCATTGTTACAAGCGTTACACTTGCAGACTTCGAGCACACATAATCACAATTTGATATGAGGGAAATATGTTTTTTTTTTCTTCTGTGCAATTTGAGGTTATTTATGTCTTTTTTACTTTAAGTAAATACTTCTTATTACAAAAAATAATTAAAAAAAAAACCTTGTTACAGATGTGACTCAGGAAATAATCAAAATTGTACTTTGCTAATATTTCCAATATTTTGCAATATTTTTGGCAACAATTGCAAATATTTCTGTGAATTATTCTGTAATACAAAATATATTTACAAAAACCTTTTTTTCAAATATAGCTCAGAAATAGTGCAAAACCCTGTATAGTCAAAACTGTACAGGGTGCATAGCATTTTTAAAAATTGTTTAAATGTGCTTTTTTGCGTTTTTTATAAGCCCTTAAAGGTGCTTTTCTCATTGTATGTTTTTAAAACGTACTTAATTTTTTTCTTTTAAAAATGATATAATTTTTATTTACCATGTTGATTTTTGCTACAAATTAGGCCACAATTCTTCCACTTTCATGTACAACTCTACTGCGTTTTACTAGAGTTTCTCAATTTCTGGCTTATTTTTTTTTGCCCCCTGAAATCGAGCTTAAAAATCTCACAAATTTTCGCTGTTCACGGGAATTGACAATATATATTGGCAAATTCTTTCTCTAATGGCTAAATATTTTTTTTTTATTTCTCTTGTTAATTTTTTTGTTGGTCAAGCACTATTGTCTTTGTCATTTACATTTATAAACCAATACTTCAGTTGGGGTTCATTCACTAATTTTATTTTTTTCATGTGGATCCCCAGAGCAGTAAAGAATCAAAAAGTTTTATGTCCTCAAAATTTCCATCTCCCCTTTTATTAATTTAATAAAGATAAGAATTAGTTGATATTTTTAATTGTAAGATTTTTTACTTATTTACATTCACAAATTGCATAAAAGTTATGTAAACTTTTATTGTACTGAATTATTATTTTTTAACTTATTACTTTTTATTATTGCATTATTACTTTAAAAATTTTCAGTGCTTTTTAAGTTTTATGAAAAAACTCAATAGTCTTTCAAAGCAAGATTTTAAAAAAAATATGAAGCTTTCACTCTTTTAAATTCAGCAAAAAATCTTATGTTATTCACATTTGTCATTCGAAAAATCTTTATTTAATCTCTTAATGATTTGATTTAAAAACAATTGAAATGAAAAATTTTTTCAGATTTGTTAGATATTATGAGTGTAGGAACCATATAATAATTTACCTCTGACAAAAATGTTTATCTTCTATATTCATGGTATTTACATTTCAAAATAATTTGAATATTTATTTTAATCATTTCATTACGGAAATACTAAACCAAAAACGAAATTTTAATAAAAAAGTATTAGAGACTGTTCACTAATTTAAAGTAAATTATCACAAACGGGTTGGTCGCTATGGCCTCCGGCCCCGCGCCAACCAACCAAAATCACCATAGTGATATTTTTCCTTCACTTGTTGCTGAGGGTGGCAACGAGTGACTGAGATGGAGGCCATGTTTTTTAAAATGTAACCAAGTAGTGTGTGTTTAAAAGGGAGATTAAAAAAATTATCTCCTACAATTGTACCATGAATAAATTTTGTTTTAACATTTTTAATAAAGTCTTATAACTGAAGCTTTTAAAAAGTGTTATAAAATGAATTAAATTAATTTAATTTATTTGCAATGTGAATTTGTTCAAATGTTCTTAGCTTGCTTAATTCTTTACATATCTTTATAAAAACTATATTTAAGTCTAAAAAATACACTCGATAACCTTTTTAAGTAATAGTTAAATTAATAATAATTTTGAATTAAATTTTTTTTACATAATTATGTAAAGTAATTATTAATTTAAAAAATAGAATGAGCCACTCAATATTGAATATATTCAAAATTGTGTATAATTATAGTCTTGGTTTCTCATGTATCTTTGTCTAAAACTATTATTTTACCATGATCATGTAAAATCTTTGAAAGTTATTTTGCCTTTTATATAAAGAACTTTCAACTATAAGAAGAAATTTTTTTTATTTGTGCGCATGTCCTAATTACCTATTTTTTTAAAAGTTATATGCATTTTTTTTAAAGGTACTTATTTTTTTAAACATTTGGCTATGCACCCTGCTGTACATTGCTATACAATTAGAAATATTTTTGTGAATTCTAAATTTTTGAAGATATTCTTATTGATACTAGAAATTTTAAGACTTCCAAACTCATAAAGAATTCACAAATTGCATTTGTGCAATTTATGGCAAAGATCAATACATTTGTTATACATTATACCTTAAAGCCCTTAAACATGTAACATCATGGATATACATACAATTTTTTGTAACGAAAGGATAATAATCAATATCAATAGCTTCTTTTTATTTTATCTTACGATTTGCAATGATTTAATAGCAAAGCTTATTACTTTTCTGACCTATGTGGAAATAAATAACAATTAAGTAGATGCATCTAGAATTAAAATTACTCTTAAAAAAAGGAAGGAAATTAATTAAATGAAACTTTAAAAGGAATCAATTTTAATTTATTTTTAAAATATCACATACATACATACATCTTCTAGCACTTAAAGATTAATTGTATAAGCAACAATTATATTATAATCAGATATGACCACAAAAGAAAATGTTCCTTCGACTGTGACAGCAACTTCTGTGTGAATAGAAACCTGGTGGTTATTTGAATGTGCACATTGAATTTCACCTTGCAGTACTATTGAGAAGTCTTCATTAAAAATGACTTGGAGAACAAGTGAAGAGGCATATTTTTCTTGCAACTTTCAAAATAAATCCTTCTATTGTAATTGTTAGTGTTTTGAGTTCCACATGGTTTCCTAATATATTTTTCATTCCATTCTGAATATTGGTGGCTAAGATAACAAAATTTTCTTAGTGTGTTTTACATATTCTTAGCATACATTCGTTATTTTCTTACTCTCATACCAGTTCTTCTACTAATCAACTAGGTTAACTAAGAAAGTTGGGGGTACTGTTTTACTTATATTGCTGACAATGAATTCCAAATTTACAAGACACAAACATATTCATTACATGTTATCTCAGATACAAGAAGAATATATGGTCTGAAAGAAGCCCAGATAAGATTTAAAATTTTCTTAGATCAATTTTTCTTAGCATGTTTTATATATTCTTAGCATACATTCTTATTCTCATACCAGTTCTTCTACTAATCGACTAGGTTAACTAAGAAAGTTTGGGATACTGTTTTACTTATACTGCAGACAATGAACTCAAAATTTTGAGATAAGAAGAGTGTGTAATCTGAAAGAAGCCTATTAGAATTTATGATTTTAAAACTTTTGCTATCTATCTATTAATATTCTATATAAATGTCTCGTTTAAATATTTTTTTTTCTTTTATTCACTCTTGTTATAACTGCGTCTCTTTGTCCTTGAATACATCTTGTTGATAGAAATTTATTACAACTGTTTTTGTGTTCACAGGCAATGCATTAGCATTTGGTTTTTTTTCTTTGAAGGTTGAGCTCCCCTATTATCATTTACAAGTTTTGTAATAACAGCTATTTTTTTTCTCGTTATAGCTCTGGCCTGTTGAAGCTGCAATTGAAGATTTTGTACTCTGACTTGAGCCTCATAATTTGCGAGAATCTTTAAATGCTTGAAGGCTTCATTAACTGTGTTCAGAGTCTAAAACTAATCCCAGATATTTAGGGTCATTGACATGGTCAACGTTGACGGTTAGCTTTTTTCTCGTAATAAAACCTGTTTTTTATCAGTTGAGAAGACAGAAGGCCTAAGTAGTAGAATTGTTAAAACATACAAAATTGTAAAATCTACTACTAATTAAACTCTTCCAAACTTTTCTATATGATATATTCTAAGATTAATACAGTTCATTGAAATTCTTTTGTCTAACGTACTTTAAAGTGAGTACTTTTTACAAAAATTTTAAAACTTGCTCTAAATCTTTTTTTAACGTATTAACATATTATGCACTAGGGGTGCAATGATTGACCCGCCTCCACGTGGCGCACCCTGGGCAACGCATCCTTGCTGCTGAGTGGTCTTTCGCTTTTGGCAATGCTCAAATTTTCATTTACATCAAAAAACTAACGTTTCAATATTCTCTCCTTAATTTACTATTATTTTAATATGCAACAATACATTCATAGAAACATAAAAGAAAGCACTTCAAGATATAGAAACTGATACAGCTGAAAATACTTTTGTGATTGATAGAAAAAATAAAATGTACTCAAGCATATTATAAAATAATTTTGTCAATTTTCATACTAACTGCCCACCTTAGTGTAAAGTATTCCCGCAACACACCCCGTTGAGGGTCTTTCCTCCCTAGACTAGCTGGTTTCATTTGATAGGCTTCAAGTCGTCATTGCAGATTGAACCTCATTCCTACATTATAAAAGCTCAGTGTCTTACATCTGAATGAAAGGACAATTGACTGTTGTCGTTTAACTGGCCACTTTTGGCGTGTCAAAATATATATATATTTTTTAAATGACGTTTATCTTAATTGTAAAAAAATTTTAATGCTTTTACAAAGCTAAGGAGTGGAATTTCCATTTGGTACTTCTAGGAGTGGAATTTCCACTTGGTAAATTCTTGCTTTACTGATAAGTTTCAAGTGTAGTTTGTATTATATATTTATATATAAAATCAAATTTTCCTAGTACGTATGCTAATAACAATTCAAAATCCATTTTCAACATTATATGATTTTAAAATAAGATAAAATGGCTGCACATTGTTTGTGGGTTGTATCAGTCTAACACGGAGTTATTATCCTTAAAATGGACTTGATATGAATGACAGATTTCGTTAGAAATTCAGCCTGAGTTTAGAAAGGACAGTATCTGTTAATTTTCATGTTGATGAACTGTAAAAGAGACGCCTGACTTGGAGATAGAGATGGTCCTGTCTTTTAATTGGTAATTATGTATTCTTTCTACTAAAGCCGATGACAAGAAGAAGGTGATATGAGCCGAGGTATGTTTTCACGAATAAAAATATCCCCAAGATCAAAGTGAAAGATAAATCTTTATTTATATTAACTCCCAATAAATTTTCAAAATCTTATCTTGATGTTCTTTCACCCACACGACTGTCTAATTTATCTACTTCATATGTGCAACTCTACACTAAAATATTACTGACTTCCTTATGGACACAGCATACTTCTCAATTTAAATCATGTTCTTTTTACTGACCAAGTGCTTTTTGTCTCTTGCGACAGAAAATAAAAACTTAATTAAATTTTTCCCATTTGCTAGTATTCACCTTTCATCACAAGTGACGATCTGGAACAGAATGTTGTCCTTATGTTCATATTGGAGCAGATTAGTGCAGGCTTGAACACTTTTATTCTTATTTTCTTGAGTCAGCTCATGCTGCTCCTAACTATTGAACTTGTGTGTCCAGTTTATGCGATGCATATCACGACAAATAGACATGGCACTGATATCTAACTCCTTAGCTAGCGCTCGAATAGTTGAATAGTGATTTTCTACTACAAGTTCTTTTTTTGGTACCTTATCAACATTGGTAGACCGACCAGAGCACTCTCATTTCTGAATGTCATATTCTTTGTTTTTGAATTTTCGGTTCCACACTTTCACAGTGTCACATGATACAATAGCAGTACTTAACGCTGTATTAACCTAGTACTGCTCCCTCCCAACGATCGAACTTGTATGTCAAGTACTAATACACATGGCATTTACTTCTAACACCTTAGCTAGCGTTCGAATCACGGGCTACAATAATAGTACTTAAAGCAGTATTTACCTAGTACTTAAACCTATTCTGTAGCTGACTTTTTGCTACTGACTGGAAGTAAATGTTGGTTCTAATGTGGTATCCTGATAATTGAATTTCAGGCACCTTGTACTTAATGATATATGCAGGATTATTCATAATTCCCTCCGGGGTTTCGAAGCGTTATAGTAAAAAAAAGAAGATGAATATGAAAAAAAGAAACATATGAAATTATTCCGAAACTATTCAAGTTTTCACTCAAAAGAATTTTTACAAAAAAAAAAAATAGAACACAATAAGTTTTTTGTTGTAATTTTTGTAAAAAAAAATTTTGAGTGCTCCTCACACTATTGTATTAATATATTTTGCTTTGGCTATATTGATACAATATCAGAAAGCACTCTTTTTTGCGGATATAATCGTGTGGGCTAATAAAAAGATTATATCTTTTATTTTCCGGATTTTTAAAAAAAATTTTTATCCTTTTATTTTCCCCCCAGTTGTTTGTTATTTTTTTATTATTATTTTTCTTCTCCCTTTTTTTCATATGTCTGTAATTTTCCTTTGTTTTATCTTCATTTTGAACTTATCTAATGAGTTCCGTTTATTTGCAGCTTATGCTCAATAAATAAAACTTATTGTTTTTCTTAATTTCTTCGAGTTTTTTTGTAAATATTTATTTTGTTATATATACATATGTATATATATACGTATATTATATATATATATATATACAGTCGAACTCGTTTATAACGAGCACAAAGGGACCGTAACATGTACTCGTTAAATCCGAGTGCTCGTAATAAACGGGTCCTTAAGACAGGCGTGCAACCAGAAGAGGGGGCGGGGCTTGGGAGGTCAAATGATTGAGTTTACTTAAAATTTAATTAATACTTACTTACTTTAATTACATTAATTAATTTAATTAAATACTTTTCTTAATTTAATGACAACTAACCCCCCCAACCAGCAAAAAATTTCTAGTTGCGCTACAGTCTTAAAGGAAAGAAGCAATAAACGGAAAGAAAAATAAAGGAAAAGATTCTTACCAAAACATTTANTATATATATATATATACGTATATTTTATATACTTGAAAACCTGTTTGTATCTCTAATATTTGATCTGTCTACCGCCGAGAATATTTTTTGTTAACACTGTGGCTGTAAGTGTTGCATAAATTAACCAGCTTTCATCAGAATTTCAACATTGGCCTATTATCTGGTATAACTGAATGGATATGTGATCATCGAAGATTTTAATTGAATCACAGAAAAAAAAGTACCTTATTAATTATTATATAAATGCAACGTCCGATTCAATTCGGGCCGTTGAACCCGTATTTAACCGCCTCCCTGGTTATCTCGAAGAAACTCGGGTATGTATATATTGAAATGATTTATTAAATCTGGAAAACTGATAGCAGTATTTGTCAGTCCGTTCTATTTTATCACGTTTTTAAAAATCTGCAGTGATTGGAAGTTTGCCAGGTTTTTTTGTTTGGAAGTTTTGCTGTTGGACTCAATTGTGGATTGTAGGACTGTACACGTGTTTTGTACTATTGTATATGCGATGGTTGCTGAATTTACATAGAAAAAAAACAGTAAAAAAATGGTATATCGCTGCACTGGCGCGTTTGGGAAGTATCGCTTTGTTTTGTCCTTCCTTGTTTTAAAAACTACCATACAAAGATTAATATTTAACCTTTTTTCATTTGCCCGTGATAACTCGGGATAGTAAACTGATGGTAAATTAAAAGTTTTTTTTACACATAAAAAAAAAAAAAAAATTCAACTTAAAACTTGTATATTATGTTTTGTTCCTTGTATTTATTTTTAAACATTAAGAAAAATATGTTGATTTTTGTTTTGTTTTGTTTAAAAAACAACAACAACAAATTGGTAAAGGAAACTGTTAAAGTAAGTAAATAATTATTTTTTCATAATATATTTATAAAATATATTTTTAACACTTACATCGTTGCAATGACGCGTCTTTGTTCCACCCTCTGCGCTAAAATTGAAACAAGACGCTCATTCCTTTAAAGCTTGTTTATTTAATTTTAAAAAATAATCAATTGCAACCCATAACCATATCCACTAATACACAACAATATATCACAGAGTGGAAAACGAGTTATCTTGTCCATCACGATGAAATTTGAAGTTGACAGGACACAGCTATTGAACACTTCGTATATTTTTAATAATGAATACAATTATGTAATGTATATGATAGTAGTTTTATAAATAGTTTTTCAATTAACACTAGTCTTTCAGGGGATAACTCTTTTGATGTTGTTGTTGTTAATTAACGTCGCACTAGAGCTGCACAATGGGCTATTGGCGACGGTCACGGTGTGGGAAACATCCCTGAGGATGATCCGAAGACATGCCATCACAATTTTGATCCTCTGCGGAGGGGATGGCACCCCCGCTTCGGTAGCCCGACCTGCGCTCGAAACTCTTTTGATGAGTTAAAAATTTTAAACATGGTAAATATTTCAATTTAATATAAATTTTTGAAAAGTACCTTGTTGAGAAAGTATTGTTTATTGTTATATCGCAATACAATAAGTGCAAAAAGTGAAATTTAGAAGAATTTTAGAACTGCTGAAGCGTCCGATTCAATTTGTTAAATAGAATAAAGTGCGGGAGGTTCATTTCCTTAAACTTTGAATTAATTCTTCTACAGTAATTATTTTTTTTAAAGAATCAGTTATTTTTAAAAGAAGTTATTTTTTAAAGAATAACCTAGGAATGTTGTTGTAGGCCATTAAGGCATGAAGTGCAATCTATGGTCAGGAATTCGATTTCTGCCACTCCCATTCGTCACACCCTCTTATAGTGTAAACCCATTCATCCAACCACAAATCGTAATTTTGACCTGATCCAGAGAACAATCAATCTCCAATTCAGTACCCCTAGAGGTATAATTTGTTATGGGAACATGGGTGACTTTGTGACCCAGCAGATTTAACTTGCACCACTCACCATTTACTATACTTAATTAGTCTTTGGCCAGCTGCATTCAAACTTCAGCGTCCCGCCAACCAGGCTATATCAGCCCATTATAGACGAATAATTTCTTATTATTATAATTATTATTAAACACTATTATTTTAAAACTATTGAGATAAAAAATTTTAATGATTAGCTTTTCATTTCTTCATAACATTTAATTTTTTGTAATAAAATAAATTTGAAAACAATCGGTTAAATGTAGCGAATTGGTTGAAAAATGTTTGGCGTTGAAATTAGCAAAAGCAATTAGTAATACCTACCAACAATTTGAAACGATTATGCTTTTCACAGTCAGCATGTTTAGGATCCTTCTACAGTTAGGCTTGCGCATGATATTTTTATGTGTCAAAAAAAAAAAAAAAAAAACTAGTCGGGAAATATATAGTCAGTAATTGGAAATATATGAGTACTATTGTGAATACATTAAAATTATTTATTCATATTCTTAAAAAAAAAAAAAAGATCGTGAGTAAAATTATAATTTGAAACCGTCCCTCCTCATAGAATCGCCCTTTTATTTAAATCTTTTGACAACCAAAGTTTCTGATCGAGAATCATGACACATTATAAGAGAAATCTCAATAATTAAACTAATTTAGGTTGCAAGAATTAAGTGCTGTGTTTGCTCCGACTATTCAAGAATCGATTAAATGAAAATAAAAACTAGTATTTTAAGTCTTGGCTAAAGTTAACTGGTATTACACAAAATAAAGCAAGTCATATTATATTAAGTACAAACACAATGACAATATAGGATGGCATGTTTTTTGAGCATTGGCGTAAATATGAATTGGAAATAGTAAGTCATGTTTTATTACAAATTTTAACCGCTAGCGCCACCTATGCTAAGCTTTATACGGTTCTCCATCTATACAGGGCCTAATTATCGCCTAGGCCCCATAGACATGGGCCTAGGGGCCTAAAAAATTAGTAAAAAGTCTAATGAAAGGTGGACTAGCTTTGTGTTAATTTAAGTATTAAATAAAAAACAGTTTTACAACAAACAGTATTAAATTAAAATTAGTGACTTCAATTGTTTTTGGCCACCAAACTATTTTTATTTTGATATAACATTGTTTTGTATTTTGCTTTAATTTATAGATACGTAAACTTTATCTTAGAAAAATAATCTTCAATTGTCTGCTTTCAAAATTTCTCAGAATGTTTCTCTTGAATCATGCAGTTCAATAGATTCTTTTTCATTGTAAGGAATACTCTTCAGTAATTTAATTTCAAAATATCTTGTAAGGGGTCTGGAGAATTTGGTGGTCCTGAATTTGTCTTGATCGGTTCCTGCCTCTATACTGTGTCAAAATGAAACATTACGCTTTAAAATGAACAGTGTTTTCACCGCCGCGACTCAAACCATGCGTGAATTTATCTCGGTTTGAATACTTTAGAGATATTTCATTAGAGTTAATGACAAACTATTGCAATACGATCGAAAAAAGTACAGTGCGATCACGCACTCTACCTTCGCCTATAAGAATCGAACCAACACCCAGATCCAAGTAATGAAAGAGGAAGACGTTCTACTCTAGATAGGGTCTCCTACTGGACTAATCGAAAAGACAATGTTTCCAGTAGAACACCGAAGTCAAGCATCACTGGCTGCGGTCAGCCAGTGGGTGGGTGACTACTTTGATCAGCTTGCTTAGGGACCGAGGATGCGCGGTATCGGCCTTCGTTAATCTGTTCTACTGTAAAGTGTTCAACAACGTGCACAGGTCGTTGGGCTACCAAAGCAGGGGAGCCATCCCCTCTTCAGAGAATCAAAATTGTGATGGCATGCCTTCGGATCGTCTTCAGGGATGTCCTCAGGATGATGACGTCACCAATATCCCATTGTGCAGCTCTAGTGCGACGTAAATAAAGTATCTACCTACCCATTCTATATCGGCAGAAATGATCCCCTGGAAGTGCACCGATAATAAAATCCAATCGAAAATAATGTAGTGCTGTTGATGATTTTGTGTAGTTTTCAGTCGGTTAAGTACTGTAATTGACAGTTCGAGACGCTGCTATATACAACGTATTTTAAAAAAAACCTTTGTTTGCCTAAAGATGGAAAATACAACACTGGATGAAAACGCTGAACCTATTCATTTTAAGAAGATCGTAGTTGTTGGCAATGAGGATTGCGGTAAAACACAGCTCATCAGAGCTTTTATTGAAGTTTCAGATTCCCACGTAAGTGCTCAATATTTCCGTGACAATGCACACTCTAATATTGACATTGACGGTACGAATTTCTCGTTATTAATTTGCAAAGCACCGTGTCCGCAGAATCACAAAGGAGAGAGATCAAAATTATATGAAAATGCCGACGTAGTAATTATTTGTTTTGCAGTGGACAATATGAATAGTTTTCTGTGCGTCGCGAGCAAATGGCTGAGAGAGATGCACGAAAATCGTCCAGACGTGCCTTTGGTTTTAGTTGGAAATAAATGCGATCTAAAATCTCAAGAGGCTGCCCCTAGCACGATATCGTACGATAATGGACTACTAACTGCAAGAAACATAAATGCCTACCAATATGTGGAATGTTCCGCAAATACTAAAGAAAGAGTTTTAGAGGTTTTTATCGCTGCAGTAAAAGCTACATTAGAATAATTGTATTGTGTGCCACATGTGGTCTCCAAGCATGCAGCAAAATCTTCCAGATGTGGTATTGGTTTTAGAGAAAAATAAATCTGACATGAAATCTTAAAAATTTTGTTTCTAGCACAATATTTTACATTATTGGACTACGAGAAACATTAATGCCCTATATAAGTGACATTTTTCTTCAAATGCAAATAAGAATTTTAAATATTATTATTGCTACAGATAAGGCTTAAACTCAAATGTTTCTTCTACAATTTGCAAGGTATCTCATTTTAATATTATAAGAATTTATTTATTAATTGAAAAAATAAAATTAATGGTTTTGTTGAAATGTGCTTTTTGAAAGTTATTTGAATTATTTTACCTTAAAAATTATCCTGACAATAATAAAATTACAGATTTAATAAAAAGAGCTATATAAACTAGTCTGTTTTTATCAACAGTCAAATAATAGTAGTTTTATAATAGTTCTTGTTGTGAAATTATTACTGCCAATATTAAATTTCGTACAATTTCTTTGATTTATATGTGAGTCTTTTTGAAAAACTGGGTTTTTAGTTTTGTTTGTTATTCCGGTATTTGGTACATCTTTTATAACCTCATAGAACCAGTGATATATAAATAATAATAAAATAATTATATTTCATGAATCCTTAACACTTAAGTATTCAGCGAATTTGGATAATTTGAGAAAGGAAAAATATGTCTGAAATGTCTACTTTCCAATTTGTGATTCTTCTAGTTGGAATTTTTATTTATAACAGTGTAGAATTTTGATTCTTGCTAATGATTTTAATAAAATTTTGGATTGAAATTTTGTTTCGTTAACTTTTAAAATCATCTTGAGACCATGTTTTTACTAAATGTTACCGCCATAGACCGATCAAGACAAAATCAGGCCCAAGGCTCACCAAATTATCTGGGCCCCTTACAAAATATTTTGAAATTAAATTATTGAAGAGTAGTCCTAATAAAGAAAAAAAATCTATTGAACTGCATGATTCGAGAGAAACATACTAAGAAATTTTGAAAGCAGAAAATCGAAGATTATTTTTCTGAGATAAAGTTTACGTATCTATAAATTAAAGCAAGATATAAAACAACAATGTTATGTCAAAATAAAAATAGTTTGGTGAGCACAAACAATTGAAATCAGTGATTTTTACTAAAAGTCACTGATTAGCTGAATTATTTTTTATTGTAAGTTGGAATTATTTTTTATTTAGTACTTAAACCAACACATAGCTAGTTTTGCTAATTTTTGAGGCCCCTCAGAAAGTGTGGGCCCTAGGCCCATGCATATTGGGCCTTGGCTATAATCGGGCCTTGTTTACCGGGATTCTATCAACATTTTGCCAGAAAAAATTGCTGCAAATAAAATTTTCATTCTTTAATTTGCTGTGTTTAAGGTTGAAGTTCTAGAACTACAAAAGTTTATATTGTGAAGATTTATGTTAGCTTGGTAAAACTATTGAATTTTAATTTTCTTGACTAATAATCCCTTACATCCTTATTCTCTATAATTGGTTGCAAAATATTTTTATTTTATTACCTTTTAAAGTTTGTTAGATAAGGGTTTTATTTTGTTATAAATAATATGTTCACAGTAAAAAAATTATTTGACAACAATAATTTTTTAACATTTCTTGTAGTGTTTGCTAAATGGAGAAACAAAAGTTTATTTTTTGAAGTGTACTAAAACTGATTTTCTTTTTACTCACTCTTTTCTACTATTCTCACGATTTTCACTATTTTCTAAAAGTATACGAGCATTGTAATAATCGGAAAACAAAAAAGTTGCTTATTTTATAAAACTCTTTAAGAATTAGTCCAAAACGCAATGAAGGAAGATAAAATTTTAAAATTAATATTTATAATATATTGAGAAGCAAAAAAGCAAATTATTTTTAGCGGTTAACTATCTTATACTAAAATTACTTGTAAAAAAAAAAAAAATTGTAAATTGTTGTATTTAGAATATGAAACAGTTCATGCTAGCGTTTATATTATTGAATGGAGAAAAATATTTATATAGTATAAAATTTTACAATGACTATAATTTTTTAAAGACAAGAATACGTTTATGAGAGTTGACCATCATGAGATTAAATTGTGGCTAAGGTTCCTTAATGATCTTTATTCTTTAATAATTACTTTATTTTATAGCACTATTTTTTTCAGCTTACCCTATGTTCAGAGTAGGTTCAGGCAGTTACAGTGGTAATTTTAATTTAGAAACAGTAACGTTGACAGAAGACGTTATTTTGATATGAAATTGCTTTATCCAATGTATGAAGTTTTTCTGTTTTATATATTTTAAATAAGTAAAAGAAATACCTTTTGATATAGTATTCTGTGACTCCAAAATGATATTCCGCGGAACTTCAGTGTTAGGTGAGGGATTACAAAGGTTCAGAGAGTTAGAATTTTATTAACCAGCTATGATTTTTGAATTTTACTGTTACATTTAGATCCAATCAATATCTATTATTTATTTAATCTTACAGTTATTTATATGAAATATTGTTAGTAAAAATGGGAATATATAAAAAGCAAAATTTTATTAGATAAATAGGATACGTATTTTTTTTAATAATAATGTATTGAAAGAATTATGAAAATACACGAATTCATACAAAATCGTATTAGTATTTCTCATCCAGTATTTCAAATAAATAAAAGAAATTCAATATTAAATACAATGGCTCTTATAAGTGTTCGTACACTTATAAATTTCAATGAAATAGTGCTTCATTCATTCATTAAAATGAATATTTCAGAATAATTATTTAATACTAAGATCTTTAATGTATTTTTAACAAAACTGCATGGAATATTTTAAAACCAAAGCAGCAGTTTATATCTATTCTGAAATATTCATTTTGATTAATGAATTGAGCAATATTTCATTGAATGTCCCAAGAACAAATGCTCGCAAAAGTGTACAAACACTTTTGAGAGCTTTTTATATGTATCATTAATGACTTTTTTTAACGTTTATAATAATTCCCTTTCGTTTTCATTTCAACGAAAATATAGTTGATCTTATCATAATATCACTTTCAGCTTATTATTAATTATACAACAAAAGCAAATTGAGAGCTAAACTAAATGGCCGTCACAAGGCTGCAAATTCAAGTTCCTTGATCACGTTTACGAGAAAAAGGATTCAGCATGCTGGATTCCTTCGCATGTCGGTATCTTTGGAAATGATCGTGCCTGTACAATAGCTAAAACCACTATCATAACTTAAAATAGTAATCTCCTAACACCTTTGGACATTGAACGTATTTGTAAAACCTCATTTTATCGAGTCCGGAAAGAACTCTCCATTGAATGCACACATCAATAATAAATTACATGAAATTTATCCTAATTTTGATAATTGTATGACATTAACTGTTGATCACAAAAACCAGGTTATAATTAATAGAATACGCATTGGTCATACTCGTTTTACCCGTTTGATAAAGGATAATCCTCTAGCACCCCTCTTCAAGCTTCATCTTAGTTCTTCACCCCTCCGATTTTGACAGTTGAAGATTGATTAAGGATTACGCCCACTGAAGAGGGGGAGAATTCGTGTGACGAAGGAGCTCGCACACGGTTTTACCCACAATGCATTTACTGAATCTCCCCCCAACTGTGCTCAATGCCAGGTCGATATTTCCATCCAACACTTATTAACTGACTGCAGACGATTCAAATATTTTAAGAAACTTTTTGACAGATTTTTTCCCGATCTTTTATCCTTACTTAGTGACCCTATACATCACAATCTCATCAAGTTTATCGAAACTGTATTCATAAATACAAATAAAAGTGCATTTCTTTTACCTAGTAGCTGGCGCAGTACAGCCAGTTAAGCCAATTCTTGTGCCAATTAACTCTTAACTTATCAATCAACTTTTCTGATTGATCAATCTAATTTTGAAGATTTTTTTAAAATTTTCCTTTTTCACAGTAAATAGTTTCAAATTTTTATTTTATTTTACTACTTTATTTTTGTCTATGTACTATATAGCAGATTCAACTGCATTCAACTTGACGTTGGCATTTATTACTTTGAGTGAAGAATGCAAAAAAATTAAATAGGATTTTTTTCTTCGTGTTTTGGGTATATTTTACTTTCTATCATAAATTAAACTTTGTATTTGAATTCTCCTTCCGAGCGTTTAAGAGATATGCAAATTTCCTACTGGTGTGCAATATTTGCAAAAAAACTCTAAGGTCATAAAAGTTGAGAGAAGAACAAAAGAAAAAAAAAAGATAAACCTCTTTTCAGTAACTCCAATTTTAATAAAAGGAAAGAAAAGTTAGGAGAACAAAATGAGAATTTCACGCGTGCCTACGTATCAATACTGTTCTTCAAAGGGAAAGGGAAAGTTTGAAATGAAAAGTGTTTCATCCTTTTAAGTTTTTACTTTCAAAATTTTTTGCGCATTTATTGCAATGCTGACAGATATTTCTTATTTGCGAAATGAGTAATCGCAATAATTCTTCAATATTTTACGGGTTTGTGCTCTTTGTATTACAAAGTTTTAACTGAAGAATTTATTTTTCTTTACATTTTTCTTTTTGTGAAACAAATAACCAGAAAAAAAATTGTCTCGTGCGTGATGCGTGAAGTTAATATATAATATGTCAAAAAATAGTTTGTAAATATATATCTACGCCTTAAATATCTTAGTACCAATTGTGAATCCATTCTTCATTTAAAAAAAAACGGAAAAAAACAGTGCAAATTTATTATTTCTGATTCTTCTTTTGGCCCCTATTTACAGGCTGTTTGTCATAAAATACTAATTACGGCAAAATGGGGTATAAAATTTTAATAAGGCTTGGTTAACTCTCAACAAAAAAATAATAATAATTTTATGAGTCGAAACGATTTAATTTTTATCTCTTGAATTAGTATTCATTTTATAGCATAAATTTTGTTACTAAGAAAACTTCCTGAATTATTAATTTGTAATGAGTTGTTCTTTTTTAATTAGTTTTAGTACAATGTATTTTAAATAAAAACATAATAGTGAAAAAATATTCATCGATTAAATTACCAGCAATATTTTTAAATATTTTTTTTTATATATTTTATTAAAGCTGTATGAATAACTTGCTTATTTTATGTATCACCTCTTCTTAATCATATGGCTATGTTCTATCAAAATAAGTGATTAGAAACGGATAAATTATGTAATTTTTAGGATTATTTATCTTAAATTATTCGTTGATATAGTTTAAAACCGTGTCGAATTCAGTTGTTAGAGAATTAGTATTATAAAAAATGTAATATATACAAGTATCGCATTTCACTGTAACTTACGTGCAAAGTTTTCTTGTTATGTGAAGAACTTAATTTGATATGTTAAAGGTCTGGTTTCTTAGGACAAGCGCCTTATCTGGTCGTCAGCGTTAAGTTGACGTCACCCTGACGGCAACAAAATACTGGTTTGTTAGCTCAAGGCCTGGTTTCTTAGGAGAAGCGTCTTAACTGGGCGTCAGCGTTAAGTTGATATANGTCTGGGAGTACTGCAGCGGTTGAAAGGGGCTTTTCAGCAATGAACTTACAAAAAAACACATTACTTACTGGTCTTAAACAAGAAGCGTTAAACGCAATTATGAATATTTACCTAAATGGAAAACCTCTTTCAGATTTCTGTGCAGAAACCTCTGTAAATCATTGGCTTGATTGTGGAACTGGTAAACGTCATATTTGATTCATTTAAAAAACGCAGTACCATCGGATAAATTGACATAATAATTAACAGATAACTTAACTTTTGTTATTTAAATTATTTCATGAAAGAAATA